CCCTTCAGATACCAAAACTATGGGGAGTGTGTGTGTGTCTGTGTGCGTGCATGCCCGTGTATAAGCAGAGACAGAGAAAAAAAAATAGGAACGATATGAGGATAAATTTGAATCATGTATTCACATAATGAATAGCCTCCTGAATTGGGTTGACTTAGTGCCTGGGGAGGCTTCTTGGGGAGGGCATAAGGTGTTCAGGACTCACAGCCCTGAGGAGAAGGTGGGCAGCCATCCTCCTGGGGTTTCTGCCCAGCAGATGTTCTGTGAGCTGAAAGCAGACAGGCTGTGGCCGTGTGCTGAGTGTGGGCCACAGTGACACCCCCATACCAGCATTTGGCTGGTGAGAAATCTGCCTTTTGAGGCTTCCCAGGCACACCATATGATTAAATACTGCTCAGAAGGATAGAGTCCCTTCATTATAAAAAACTAGAATACATCCTAACTTTTTCTTCTCCATTGGGAATAAAAAGCAAACTCCACCTCCTTCCCACCCCCACCCTAAGTTGGGGTTTTGTGCAGTCCCAGATTGGGAGGGAAGCGCTGTGACCCCTGGGGAGAGTGCCTGGGGCTGGTGACTTCGGGGGCCGCTGCACCTCTTCAAACTCCTAAAGACAACCTTTTGGTCCTTGGAGGACTTCTGGGACTGAAGTGCTATGTGACTTTTTAAAAAAATTCTCTTTAAAACATTTACATGTGTATTTAATTTTCCAGAGTTTCTGTTACTCGCTCGGTGCCACTGGAGTTCAGCAGCTGCGGGCATGAAGAAGCCGTTCCCTGGGACCCCGCCCTCCCCGTCGTGGGCATCATTAATTACAGTTTACTCTTCCCGCTCCGCTCCCTTCCACTAAGAATGAGCCTTTTGTTAGCAGTGCTCAGATGATCATCCCACCGGAAATTTGTTTTTAAGAGCCCAGGTCTCTAAAGACGGTGCTTCTCTCTCACTGGGAGTGCTGCATTAGCCTAAGACTAATTATAGGCCACGGAAAAAGATACCAACACCCTAACAGTATATTTTCCTCTTAACAAGAGCAAACTTAATTTCCTCAGGCTAAGCCACAAGAGCAGATTTGTACTTGAAACGTCACATGGAAAACAATGGGAGCCTCTGCCCCGTGCTATGTGAAGGAGGTGTCACCTGCCTCTGCCTGTTTCCAGAAAGCCCAGGGTGCAGCCCCCAGTGGTGTCCAGGCATCTCCAAACAGTTTCTTACTCCCAGGAAACAAGGGGAACCCTGGAAAGCCACAGCAGTGACGGATTCCAACGCAGCTTATCTAGGAGTTTGGCATTAATTTAAAAAGTTAGATGTCTCACACCTGTTACGTGTTTAAATCTCTATAATGTCACGGGAAATATGCTAGTTAACAAAACATCATGGAAGATGTCAAGGAGCTCCCGCCCTGTGACAGTGTAATGCTGGGTGCTCGCGGCAGCACTGGGAAAACCGATGCACACACACTTGCTCCAGGTGGTGGGTCCAGAGCCATACGAAAGCTCCCGAGGGCACCACGTGGGGTCGTACGGGGGCTTCCCAGAGGCGGCGGGAGTGGGAAGGGAAGGACAGCTGGAGGGATAAGTGCCTGGCCTGGCTGTGGGGTGGGAGAGAGGACGGGTGGGGCGGGCGGTGGGGCTGCAGGCATCTAAGATGAGATGCCCTGTCGGAGAGCGAGGCCCCACTCAGTCTGAAAAATGGGAGCCCCTGAAAGTTTAAAAATAAGGAAATCACATGGCAGCCTCCAACTTCGGCGAGTCCCGTGTGGCAGGACATGGGCTGGCAAGTGGGGGGAGGAAGGTCTCGGTGAGTGGCCCTCAGGACACAAAGGCAGGAAGCGCAGACCCGCTGCTCCTTCCATATGAAGCAGAAAGGAGGGGGGACCCCACTTTTAACAGAGCAGTAGATTCTGAAGTCACAGACCAGACAAGGACCTCAGCAGAGCCAAGGGAGGGGGGAGCTCAGCTGTGGCCTAGACGAGCACCCCAGGTGGGTGAGAGGGGCCGGGCTGCAACCAGGGCACACCCTGGGACGGAACCCAGCAGACAGACTGGGCTGGAGACAGGATTTGGGAACCCGGGCAGTAAATGGTCAGGCATTTCCCAGGGAGAGTTTGCGGTGGGAGAAGAGGTGAATCCCTGTGGTGCAGGGCGCTGGTGTTGAAGAGAAAGGTGGAATTGGGGAACTCCTGCAGAAGATATGGGCCTGGTGAGCAGGAGGGCATCCTGGAATCAAGGGGCAGAGCTGCTGGGAAGAGGGAGGGCCCGTGCCGTGAGAGGAGGACGAGGAGCAAAGTTCAGGAAGGAAGGACCTAGAGCCGGGCCGGAGCCCTGGAGGGAGGAGAAAGGGGAGGCCGGAGTTGGAGCGTCCACCACGGTGACCGCTGTTTCCCCCAGGCACTGCCCAGGGGCTGCCCATTTTCTTCTTCCAGTCCCCACAGGGGGTGTTGTGATTTGACGGGTAAGGTGAGCGAGGCTCCTAGACAGGCCGTTTTCCCAAGGCCGTGCAGTTCCCACAAGTTCAAATGTGAACTGCGTCCCGTAACTCCAAAACCCTGGCGCCATCAGCTCCCGTCGCCCTGCAGGGAGGGGTCCCCGGTGTCCTCTGTGAATTAGAATCGGAGGCTGACTCCTCAGAGTGTGAGAAGCCGGCAGGCCTGGCGGCTGGGGACGTGCTGCCGTGTGTGTGTGCCAGGCTGAGGACCTGCCAGGCTGGACGCCCCTTCCGTGAGTGGTGTCCTCAGAGGCCACGGTTCTCTGCAGCAACCCTGGTCAGTCTGCAGCTGGGAAACCTCGGGTCGAGTGGGTCCGGGGGGAGCCCTGGTGGCCAGGTCTGCTGTGTGGCTGCAGCGGAATCCTGAGCCTGGGTGAGGGTGAAGAGCGCATTTCTGGAGGTTGGGGGTGCAAGGTCAAGGTGCTGGCGTCCCCGGGGCCTCCTGGCTGTCGGTGTTCTTGCAGGCTGGAGGGCACTGGAGGCTGCAGGAAGCCTCTTGTGTGACAGCCTTGGTCCCATTCACTGGGAGGAGACCTGGAGCCAAGTCACCTTCCAACACTATCACGTTGACAATGCCTGGGTTTTGGAGAGGACCCATTCGAACTGCAGCAGCCGGGCACAAGCATGTGAGGCAGAGAAACGAGGGTGCAGCTTCTGGGGCTCGAGAGCCTCAGAGGAGCTTCGCACACCTCGGTGCCCAGTTCCCACCCGCCATGGCATCCTCAGGATGGGAAGGGTCCCTGTCGATGAGTCCCCTTTGCTGGCACAGCCTCTCCCTTTCCCTGGAAGCCGACTTGAGTAAGCAGTCGGCTCACGCTGCCTTCCTCTCCACCCCCTTCCTGGGCCTCCTCCTTGGTTGCCTGGCACATCCACCCCTGACACCCACCTGTAAATCACAGGGCCAGGCACCCTGGGGCCTCTTCCCGGCTGTGCCCCCGACACCTCACAGCGTGTTTGCACCTGAGATGTTTGGTGGCTTTCGACTTCCATGACGGCCTCGCCCCGGGCCCTGTTCTGCAGTGTCTGCAAACCCACCGTGACCCCACCCTGCCATGCGGTAACCCTGCAGCCCTCTGGAGCTGCTCCCACCAGGTCCTCAGCGACCTCCCAAGGGTTGGTTAACATAAGGGGGATTCCAGCCGTAAACCCCCCTGGGGTCGAAATCTCCTGTTAGACACGCTCATAGCTCCCGCAACCTTTCCTTGATGTCACTTGTTAAACGGCTTGCATAATGAGTTACTTAGTGAATGGCAATGTGTCCTGTCTTTGCTGCAGTCTCTGCTCCACATGGGCCGGGCAGCGTCTGAGTGGTTCTCCTGCCTCCTGGCAAAGGCAGTGCCAGCCTCAGGGTGGACCTCAGGGTGGGCTCAGCAAGTGCTCCCAGCAGCCCTGCCATGGTGGCCCTCACGCCTTCCAGTGACAAAAACAGGCTCTCTTTGGCTTTGCCGACAGCATTCTCTTGTGGTTTTCCTCCCTCCTCCTCCTCCTGCTCCATAGATGAAGCGCAGGAAGCCGGAATCTCGTCTTGACTCTGCCGTGATATTTCTCTAGCCCTGAGCACACTTCCAGCTGCACTGTGTAAATGAGGGGGAGTGGGCCACGTGGTCTCTGGAACCTTTCTGTGAACCCCCTAACGTAGGGCTTGGAGCTTCTTCCAGGGGTAAGCCTTCATGTGGGGAGTGGTCTCTAAGGCCCCCCATTCTATATGTGTGGATTATCTGTATGTGTGGATTATCATAACTATTGTTATTGTTTTCTGGGAATAGAGCCTGGCACTTTCATCGAATTCTCAAGGGATTGTGGCTCCCAAAGAAGCATAAGAACTGCGGTTCTGTGGCTCCCGTGAGCCCAGGATCACGTCTGCTGGTCACCCCGCAGTTCCCGTCTTCCCCTGTGAGTTAGAAGGGGAGGCTGATTCCTGTTGGGGCTATGCAGATTCCTCAGAGACCACAGCTTCTGTCTGCTAAGACCTTAAAAAGGAGACCGGATTGGGCACCTTCTAGATTCTGAGCCCTGGGACGGGGGCTGGCATCTTTCATCTCTTCAAGTCCTCACATCTGCCTGGAAGTGGGCACCATCACCCCCTTTTACAGAAACTGAAAGGCCAGGATCAAATGCTTGGTAGAGTCAAAGCTGAGATTTTAATCCATGTCTCCTGACTATTTTAATTGTTTTCCTTGTTCTGCCATAGATGTTAAATTGCTGGCAGCTAAAAAAGCATGGTGATGTGATGGGCACGTTCCTTTTTTTTTTTTTTTTTTTTTCGTAATGAGTTACTTGGTAAATGGCAGTGGAGTCTCGCTCTGTCACCCAGGCTGGAGTGCAGTGGCCGGATCTCAGCTCACTGCAAGCTCCGCCTCCCGGGTTCACGCCATTCTCCTGCCTCAGCCTCCTGAGTAGCTGGACTACAGGCGCCCGCCACCTCGTCCGGCTAGTTTTTTGCACTTTTTTTTAGTAGAGACGGGGTTTCACTGTGTTAGCCAGGATGGTCTCGATCTCCTGACCTCGTGATCCGCCTGTCTTGGCCTCCCAAAGTGCTGGGATTACAGGCTTGAGCCACCGCGCCAGGCCGGGCACGTTCTTATAAAAGCTTTATTACTAAATTTTTAGTTTAAAAGCGTATTTATTGACTGAAACTCTTCAGCTTGATTTTTAAACGGATCAAGTTCTTGCTATTGCTCAAGGGCACCAGCTTTTCTTTAATGTACAGGCCAGATAACAGTCCGTGAAGTTGAGCAATCCGTGCCTGTGAATTTGGCTTTTAGAGCTTTGTTTCCTACCTAGGCAGGTTGTGCTGTTAGGTAGAATTTCGAGTCAATAGTACATTGTGCCCAGAAGACCCAGAGGGCTTTAGATCACTTGAGCTTGTGGCAGGTACGGTTGCTGGTGCCAACATAAATAGCCCGTGTGTTTACCCAGCGCAAAGACGTGAAGCTGGCCGTGACTTCCTGAGAGCCATCCCAAACGAAAGGCAGGAAGAGGGCAAGAGATCAACCTGCAGTATCGTGACGGACGTTTTCACGCTGTTAAAAAGGTATTCGACTTTCTATTGTATTACAATACAAAGAACAATACGCACAAAACTTTTTTTTCCCCCAGAAAACTCCCAGACTGAGGAGAAAGTTGTCTCCTTCCCCAGATGAACTCTGCATAACGTGGCTGAGTGCAGTGGCGCCGTCTCCTCCCCAGAACACGTGAACGCGTTCCCCTGCCCTGGGCCAGCTGGCAACCAAACACGTAGTAACTCCAGATTCAGAATTCGAGATTCAGAACTGAGAGGACTTTAGACAAGCATAGAGCGATGCTGTGAACTCTCCCACCAGGTTCGGTGCCACATGGTGGTGGCGTGGGGAGGAAAAGCTGCTGCGAGAAGAAAGGATGCGGGGGAGGAGCAGGAGAGGCAAGGCTCTGAGCGGCATGGGGTTGCAGCCAGTGGCTCCGTGGGCTCAGGCCCAGGCTGGACCAGGGAATGGGTCGCGTGGCCTCCAGTTGTGCTTGGCCGTGAATGCCCAGGTGAGCTTAAGGGCTGGCGAGATGTTGCCAGGAGACCAGAGACACCAGACCCCGGCAAGTCCATGCCACTCCTCTGCCTTTCGGAAGCCCCTCCCCATGCATCAGATGGAACTGAACACGGTGAGCTTCCACCTGAGGACCCCGTGCTGCCCGAGCAGGTGAAGATGATTTGGCTGCAGTGAGCTGAGTGAGTGGACTAAACAAACATGCTTCTCGCTGTGATCTGGGGGTGGAGGCCCTCAAGGACGACACGATCCATTGCAGATTTGTACCCCCCAGTGACGTGAATGACACACTCTCTGAGATCTCACAAGCAGAGGCCACAGCCCGGCCAGCCTGGGGGCCAGCACGGCCCCAACAGCTCGGTGACCCCTTCACTCCCGAGCAGGGCCCATGGGGTGGGGAGGGTGGGAAGGGACTTCTGCTGTGGTCCCTTCCCCGCCCTGCTGAGTCCAGGAATCCCAGGAACAGATCGGCCTCTTCCTGGCTTCAGCGCCCACGTATTTCAGCCGCTCCACGGTGTGAGGTTTAGCACTGCTATCCGCTGCAAGACTACAAAGCAGAGAACCGGCCCCGTGGGGTCCACGGTCTCTTACTCTTTCTGTGATTGAGGGGACTCGCCGATCTTATAACAGGCATTCAGGAAGAGCAACCCTTGGGAAGCAGGAGAGAGATGGGGTTGATGCCCTTGTCTCATGTCCTGTGAATTTCCTGCAGAAGGGAAGCTGGCTGGAGGCGCCCGGCTTGCGGTGTGTTGGCCCCTTCACTCGTTACAAGTGGCAGCATGTGCTTTCCGGATAATCCCCCCGCAACCCTGTGAGGAAGGGGCCGTTGTCGTCTTGCCCATTTTTCAGATGGGGAAACAGAGGGACATGTGGCCAGGGAGGAGCCCACTTGGGGCACCGGCCACCCTTCCCGCAGAATGGCAGGTGCACTCCGTGGTGGCGGCTCACGTGGTGTGCATATCCTGACCGTCACCTCTGGCGTCTCCCCTCACTTCTTTGGAAGACTCTCCTACTGGGACTCTAAGGCCCGAGGTGTCTGTGAGGGACCCCCTGTGCAGGTGGCCCTCGTAGGATGCCCTCAGCCCTGCCCAGTGGCCTCCCTCAGTCCTGTGCGCAGGTCACTTGGTGCTGTCTGCCAGTGACCATCACAGCTGGTCCTGCAAAGCACTAAGCCTTCAGCTCCTGCCTTCAAGAGCTGCCTGCAGAGGATGCACGGAAAAGAGGTAGAGAAGCTGACCATGCTCCCTTCTCCCTCACCCCTCAGGGCTCGCCTCACCCCAGGCATCCTTTGGGAGTTTAGGATGCTTCCACCGTCCACACTGCCCATGGACACACAGTCCTTGGTGCTGCTCTGCAGCCCCCGTTGGACACCTGGGGAGGGGATCCCTTAAGAACATATTTTCCTGAACTAAAAGGCTGAGGATTGATGGTGTCGCCGTCTCAGAGGAGGGTTTGCTCCCAGCACAGGTGTCACTCAGGGATCCCGTGTGAAAGGCAGGCAGGGCATTTGCTGAGCCTGGTGGCTTCTCTTTGGCATCGATAAAGTGCAGATGACTGTGCCAAGAGTGGAGGCCCCGCCCCGAGACATTCTGGGGTGGAGGCCCTGACTGGGGCCCAGTGGTGCAGCTCATCCACCTGCCCTCCTTAGCCACCGCACCAGGGAATGGGCCAGGGCGGGGGCTCAGGCCTTTTGGGGCTGGAGAAGCCAGGACCCAGCTGCTGGGTCTCCGTGCCAGAGAGAATGGAAGAGGGCAGGCCCCCTTGTGCAGTCAGAACTGGTATTGAATTAAGGTAATCCTCATTAAACTGAGACAAGTTAAAACCCACGCTGAGCGCTGCACGTTCCTGATGGTGTTAAGCTTCTTAGTGTCCACGCAGAGGAAGCCTAGAGGTTGGGCTACACAGGCTGCGGGATGGTGCATAAGACAAGATGGTGGCTCCTCAAAAATTTCAATGTAGAATGACAACTTGACTCAGCAATTCCACTACTGCGCGTAGACCCAAAAGCAGTGAAAGCAGAGACTCGAAGGATATCTGTCCACCCATGTTCACCGCAGCCCCGTGTCCAACAGCCAAAGGTGGAAGCAGCCGTGTGTTCCTGGGTGGGTGGATGGGTGGGTGAGCGGGGGGTGGATGGATTAGCACGTGGTGGTTCACACATATGATGGGGTCTTAAGCAGCCTGAGAAAGGAAGGAAATCAAAGTATTTTACCCCAAAATATATTTCTTTGACAGATTTTATTACTATCTATCTATCTATCTATCTATCTATCTATCTATCTATCTATCTATCTATCTAT